TTTTTAATGAAAATCAATACATGGGGTGCCTGGCTGGGTCAGTCGGAACAGCATGGGACTCTTGATCTCAGGGTCATGAGTTCAAGCCCCATGTTGGGTGTAGAGATCACTAAAAAGAAATAAACCTAAAGAGGCACCTGGGTGGCTCAGTCGGTTGAGCAACTGACTTCGGCTCAGGTCATGATCTCGCGGTCCGTGAGTTCAAGCCCCACGTCGGGCTCTGTGCTGACAGCTCGGAGCCTGGAACCTGCTTCAGATTCTGTGTCCCCCTCTCTCTCTGCCCCTCCCCAGCACTCACTCTCCCTCTCTCTCTTTCTCAAAGATAAATAAACATTAAAAAAATTTGAATTAAAAAAAAAAGCTTAGAACTTTCAGCCCCACCCCCAACCTCTGGGGAAGAGGGACGGGCTGGAGGGTGTTAATCACCCATGGCAGGCGATTTGATCAGTCATGTCTACACAATGAAACCTCCATAAAACCCCTAAACAACAGTTTGGAGAGAGTCCAAGTTGGTGAGCGCATTGAGTTAGTGGGAGCGGTGCACCCAGCGAGAGTGGGGACGTGGCGCCCCCCTTCCCGCAGGCTGGGCCCTATGTCTCTCTCCCATGTGGCTGTTCTTGTGTCTTTAATAATAAACCAGTAATAATAAAGTGCTTTCCTGGGTTCTGAGAGTCATTCTAATGAATTCGCAAACTCGAAGGGGGGGCTGCGAGAACCCCTGAATTGATAGCTCCTCGGTCAGAAGTGCGGTGACAACCGGGGATTTTGAGTGGCATCTGAGGTGGAGGCAGGTCTCGCGGGGCTGAGCCCTTAATTGTGGGAGCTGACGCTAACTCCAGGGCGGAGTGTCAACACTGAATTGTAGGACAGCCACCCAGTGTCCAGGGAGTTGGTTACTGGTGTAGATAAAACCCACACATTTGTTGTCAGGCTCATTCAGGATTAACTTCAGTTTGATTCATTCAAAGCCCGTGCAAAATCCTTTTTTGTCATTTAATGTGACGTAGCCATGGGAGTGCTACCCCATCATAGTCACATGTCCCACCCACACTCAAGGGAAGGGGGATCATATGAAGGTGTGGGTCATTGGGGGTCACCTTAGAATCCTACCTACCATAAAAAGTAAATAATTTTAAGTAGTTACTACCTTATTATGATTTATCATATTATGACATAATTAAAAAAAAAAACACACATAGTTAAAGCCTCTGGCTCACCCACTGCTCTCACCCACTCACTCATCACATCCTCCCAATCCTGGGGTATTTGTTATGATTTGGGTTTGACGGCACATGACGGAGACGCAAGATAACAGCATCATAAACAGGGAAGCTTGCTTTTCCCTCCTGTCCATTTGTGGCAGTTCTACCGAAGGACCCCAGGCCCCTTCCCGACCCCAGGCCCCTTCCCTATTGTTGCCCCATCCTCCCTACTCAACCCCCATGGAATCATTCTGTCTCGTACCAAGATGGCACACCATCAAATCCCACTTCCAGACACCAGGATGGACAGCACAACCCCCCAAACTGCAGGCGTCCCTTTTGCTCACGTCCTGTCGGCCGTATCTAGCGGCCAAGGAGCCTGGGAAATGTAGTCTTCGGCTGGGGACTGTCATGAAGTAGTGCCTCTGCCCCAGCGGCCAAGCCTGTGTCTTCGTTTTGCAGATGGAGACACCAAGCTCAGAGTGCCGACGTCACCAGAAGGCGATGGATAAATCAAGGGCGGAAAGAGGCAAGGAGAACCTCCTTGTATCATAGCCCAAGACCAGGGCTTTTACCAGCTCCGAAGAGCTGATATCTCATCACTGATGCGGTAAGAGGCATTTAATGAAGGTGGGGAAATGCACACATTTGACGGACAAGTGCTGGGGGGATCTAGCGTCCGGGTGTGAGATTGTGGACGGCGTGAGAAAATACCGAAGCACCAATCCTGAACCCTGCCTTCCCCCCCGTGCTCCTGCCCGGGCCACGCAGTGTGGTGGGGAAACTCGGGCTCTGCAGACAGACCGCGCCTGGATTCTCTGGTCCAAAGTAGAAATAGCCTCGGCGACGTAATAAGATATTGGGTCCTTGCACGGCTTCCATTCCGGCGAGCAGATGTGCCCTAAGAGGTTTAACGTTCACGCAGCTCCTGGGCTATGAAAGCCCTCTCCCGAGACTCTCACAGATTTAACTTGTTTACTCTTTTCAGCAGCCCCGAGTGAAGTGCTATTACGTTCCCCACGTTACAGAGGGAGCAACTGAGGCACAGAGCGGTAGAGTCACTTGCCAGAGCTGGGAAGTGGCAAAACCGGGAGTGGAATCCCGGCAGGGATTTGGCTCCAGGCTCTGTGCTCTCAGTCGGTAGGTTCTAAGGTCTGCCCCGTTATCTGCACCTGCTCCTCGTCGTCAGGAACAGAAAGAGAGTCCAGGCTCTTGGCAAACGTGCAGAGCTTGGCTTTGGAAGCCCGGGCAGCGTGTCTGATCTCGCTCTCCAACGATCACGTAGCACCCACTGTGCCACCTGCACGATACCCATCACCTCTTCTTCCGCTGAGCCCAACACGAGCCCTCGTCCTCCCCACCTCGACCCCCGACATCCCCTCCCCAGGAGGAAGACAGATCCACCCAGGCTGCAGGGGAGTTGGAAGCGTTTGTGAATGGACAGCTGGTCCGTTTGAAGAAGGTGCTGGGACCCTGGGGGTGGGGTGGGGAGACCGACAGACAGACTGTGCCCAGAAAGGTGGTGGCTTTGTGGGTGAGGCCAGGCTGCAGAAAACTGTGAGCATCACCGGCGAGGAGAGCAGGTAACAGGCAGTGGGCCGGCGAGCTGGAGGTGAGGTGAAGGGGGTGGGGGGGCAGGGGACAGGGGGCAGGGCGCAGGCTTGGCATCACAGCGGATGACAGGGTAGAGGCTGCCAGGAAGACCTTGCCTCCCTGGCAAAAAGAGAGTGACCCAGCAGGCAGGTCCTTCCTCACGGAACCCTCTTCCACCTGCAATAAGGACTCCAGGGGTGGAGGCGCAACAATGAGACGACGTGTGTTAACCATGGCAGGAAAGCAATACGGAAGAACTCTGGGTCGCTGACGGCATCGTCGGACCGCCAGCCGACTGCAGCCCCGTCCCACCAGCACACGAGAAAAACGGTGTGTTTGTTTGATGGTGGAAGCCACGGGTGGCCCGGTTCGCCGTCACTTGCAGAGAGGAGCACCCCTGACAGAAACCCACTTATTCTGTGCCCGGCCCTGGGGATTCCACATTTAAGTAGTGTTACCACGCCCATTTGACAGAGGAGGAAATTGAGGCTCCGAGAGGGGGGTGTCCCTTACTGGAGGTCACGGCCACTACATGGCAAAGGTCTGACTCCCACACCTTGCGGTGACCTCCCGGCTGGTGCCCAGGGACCCCACGGCACCAGGTGCAGAGTAGGCGGCCCATCAAGGTCCGATGAATCCCCAAATGGCCCTCCCCCAGGTCACTGACACCCGCCTCCCGACACTGCGAGTCTAAATTCTGTTTTTTTTTTAATTTTTTTTAACGTTTGTATTTATTTTTGAGACAAAGAGAGACAAAGCATGAACGGGGGAGGGTCAGAGAGGGAGGGAGACACAGAATCCGAAACAGGCTCCAGGCTCTGAGCCGTCAGCACAGAGCCCGACGCGGGGCTCGAACTCACGGAGCGCGAGATCATGACCTGAGCCGAAGTCGGACGCCCAACCGACTGAGCCACCCGGGCGCCCCCCAACACTGGGATTCTAGGACCTGTGGGTTTAGAAAGTGGGCTCCAGGGTGTGATGAAATGTGGGTTGTCAAGAGTTGGAGATTTGTCACAGTCCATATTTCCGTCCCACGCCCTAAAACTGCCAATAAAATGAGAAACTGTCAAAACGTATCCTGGGGCACCCGGGTGGCTCAGTTGGTTGAGCAACCAACTCTTGATTTCGGCTCAGGTCATGATCTCACTGTTATGAGATCAAGCCCTGCATTGGGTTCCATGCTGAGCCTGCTTGGGATTCTCTCTCTCTCTCTCTCTCTCTCTCTCTCTCGCTCCGCCCCCCTCCCTCACACTCTAAAAATTAAATTTTTAAATTGAAAAAAAAAAAAGTATCCCAAACCAGGGCATAGGAAATGAAGATGCCACAAAAGAAAGAAAGAAAGTGGGGCACCTGAGTGGCTCAGTCTGTCAAGCGTCCAACTTCAGCTCAGGTCATGACCTCGCAGTTTGTGGGTTCGAGCCCTGCCTGGGGCTCTGTGCTGACGGCTCAGAGTATGGAGCCTGCTTCGGATTCTGTGTCTCCCTCTCTCTCTGCCCCTCCCCCACTCCTGCTCGGTCTCAGTCTCTCAAAAATAAATAAACATTAAAAACAAAGTGACTCGGGGCACCTGGGTGGCGCAGTCGGTTAAGCGTCCGGCTTCAGCCAGGTCACGATCTCACAGTCCGTGAGTTCGAGCCCCGCGTCAGGCTCTGGGCTGATGGCTCGGAGCCTGGAGCCTGTTTCCGATTCTGTGTCTCCCTCTCTCTGCCCCTCCCCTGTTCATGCTCTGTCTCTCTCTGTCCCAAAAATAAATAAACGTTGGAAAAAAAAACAAAAAAACAAAAAAAAACAAAGTGACTCAACAGCACCAGGAGTTGAGGCTAGCCAACCAGGAGCAAACCTGGGGAGCAACAGGAAAACAGGACTAGGCTTCTCTTCAAGAGTGTTCTTCTTCTTTTTTTAATGTTTATTTTTCAGAGAGGGAGCGAGACAGTGGGTGAGCAGGGGAGGGACAGAGAGAGAGGGAGACACAGAATTCGAAGCAGGCTCCAGGCTCCGAGCTGTCAGCACAGAGCCCCAGGCGGGGCTCGAACCCACGGACCGCGAGATCAGGACCTGAGCCGAAGCTGGACACTTGAACTGACTGAGCCACCCTGGTGCCCAGGATTAGGCTTCTCTCCAAACCTGCCCTTCCTTCCCCTCCCCACCGCCTCCCCTCTCACCTCAGGAGACAGTGTGGCAACATTAGACGAGGTCAGGCCAGAACAGAGAGACAGATTGTATTTATTTCCATTTTCACCCCTCCCTGACTCGCCCCAGCCCCAGCTACCATCAGAAAAGGACCTGACTTGGCAACATTTCAGCCCTTCTCGGCATCCTGCTGAGGCTCCTGAAATGGAGAGGAGAGAGAAAATACTTTAAAACATCAAGAGCGATGACAACAACACTATGAAAATAATAGCATTTATACACTGTTTACTATGTGTCAGGCACCATCCCAACGCTCCCCACTCTAGTCTCCTTGCCATTTCTCAGACACGCCAGACACATTCCTACCCCAGGGCCTTTGCACTTGCTGCTTCCTCTGCCGGCTATATTTTCCATAGATAACCCCCGATATCCGCACGACTCAACCCCTTCCTTCTTTCAACTGTTTACTTACCATCTTCCCAATAAGGTCTTCCCCGACCACTCAAGTTAGGATTGCAAAATACTCTCAGCACTACCCACCCCCACTCCTTTCCTGCTTTATTTTCTTCTCAGCACTTATTTCCACCTTCGATTTGCCTATGTGTCTTGTTCATCGTCTGTCCCCCCCCCACTAGAATGTCAGCTTCACTAGGGCAGGAGTTCGTATCTGTTTTGTTCATGGCCATATCATCCCCAGGACCTAGCACAGTATCCAACACAGAGTAAGTACTCAGCAAATATTTGTTGGATAAAGTGAAATCCAAGGAGGTAACAGCTATCATGGTTTCTGCTTGACAGAGGAGAAGACCAAGGCAGAGAGAGGTGAAGGCATTTGCCTGAAGTCACACAGCCAGTAAAATAGGGATTTGAAGCCAGACAATACTGACGTAACCATTGTCTATCCTTCCGTTTTTTAATACAGTTGATTGTCGTTCTTGTCCACCCAAAGCTCTCTCCCCATCATCCCTCCCCATGGGCTTAGGGAGACCAACTCCATTCCAAGTTGGAATGGCCACATGACTCAAGACTGGCCAATGAGAGCTCCGTGTTCCCTTGGGCCTCAGTGATTGGTTCAGGGATGAACATGTGACCTAATCCAGGCCAATAGGGATTTATGCCACCAAGATAGGGAGCCTCTCTGAGAATAAAGTTAGCCCAGGGAAAAAGCAGAACACAGAGTAAGGGAGGGTCAGATTCTCAATGCCAACATTTTGCTGCCTGGATCAAGCCATTCCTGAAGCTAATTAGCCCCTAGACTTTTATTCTCATGAGCCAACTTTTTTGTTGTTGTTAAGCCAATTTGAACTGGGTTCTCTGCTGCAATAAGAACATTCATGACTTATTCCAATAACAACTGCTGTTCACTTACTGAAGAAGGGTTTTGACAAGCTCTTAATTCACATCTAACATCACCAGCTTCAGCCTTGTGTGGCTGGCTGGTGGATCCAGGATTTGAACCGAAGTTCCTGTGACCCTGGAAGCTGCATGCATAGCTACTCTGGTATTCTGTGTATTGGCAGGTGTGAGAAACAGACGTCTCCTCTGCCTCCCCTGCCCCCATCCCCAGCATGGCTGCTTGAAAACAGACCTACTAAGTGCCTGGCACATAGTAGGCATTCCAAAAATACTGTGTAAATTTTTAAAAACTAATATAATGTGGACATTGTCTGGATCCTAATTCCCAACCCACCTCTAAAAAGATATTTTTGAGACACTTGAGTAGATCTCAGATGCCACTAAGACATTTTAAAATTTTTGTCGAGGGTGGGGGCGCCTGATGGCTCAGGTGATGCAGCATGCAACTCTTGATCTCAGGATTGTGAATTCAAGCCCCACATTGGGTGTGAGCCTACTTAAAAAAAAAAAATCAATAAAATTTTTGTTGGGGGTGAAAATGGTCTTGTACTTCTTTTAAAAACTTAATTTGTTGGGGTACCTGGGTGGCTCAGTCAGTTAAGCATCCAACTCTTGATTTCAGCTCAGGTCATGATCCCACTGTTTGTAAGTTCAAGCCCCATGTCAGGCTCTAGGCTGGCAGTGTGGAGCCTGCTTGGGATTCTCTCTCTCCCCCCCTCTCTCTCTGCTCCTCCCATGCTGTCTCTCTCAAAATAAACTTTAAAAATAAAATAAGAGATGCCTGTGTGGCTCAGGTCATGATCTCACAGTTTGTGAGTTTGAGCCCTGCATCGGGCTCTGTGCGGACACTCGGAGCCTAGGGCCTGTTTCAGATTCTGTGTCTCCCTCTCTCTGCCCCTCCCCCGCTTACACTTTCTCCCTCTGTCTCTCAAAACTAAACATTAAAAAATTTTTTTTAATAAAATAAAAACTTATTTATTAGAGATGCATACTGAAGTGTTTACAGGTGCAATAGCGTGAGGTCTGGAATGTACCTTCAAACGCTAACATGCCAAAAAAAAAAAAAAAAGTGGAGGGGAATAGACGGACTAGGAGAAAGTCGGTAATAATAGTTGACCTGGTCGACGAGCACATGGGGCTCACTGTACGGGGCTCGCAATTAGTGTACGTGTCTAAAATTTTCCACCAAAAAAGCGTGAAAAAAATCATAGCTTCCACTTATGTAAACGTCTAGAAAGTGCAAACTAATCTAGGAGGACAGAAAGCAGATCAGGGGTGGCCGGGGACAGGGCAGAGGGCAGGAGAAATTGCTGAAGGCGCCCTCTCAGTGGTCTTAAAAACCCAGTATCTGGGGCACCTGGCGGGCTCAATCAGAAGAGCACGTGACTCTTGAGCTCGGGGTTGTAAGTTCGAGCCCCACGCTGGGTGTGGGGATGACATAAATACATTAACGAAATGAAGATGCAAACTAAGGGGCGCCTGGGTGGCTCAGTCTGTTAAACGGCTGATTCTTGGTTTCGGGTCAGGTTGTGATCTCGAGGTTCTCATGGGATTGGTCCCCGAGTCACACTCTGTGCTCCAAGCACAGTCCTCCCTGATCTTAGCAAGGAGGACTCACTGAGCTAGGTAGGACTGGGAGTAGGATGTTTCTGACTCCAAGCACAGAGCCTGCTTGGGATTTTCTCTCTCTCTCTCTCTCTCTCTCTCTCTCCTCTCTCGGCCCTTCCCTCCCTCTCCCTCTGACTCTCTCTCTCTCTCTAATTAAGTAAATATTTAAAAAATTAAAAATCCAGGGGCTCCTGGGCAGCTCAGTTAGTTGAGTGGTTGACTCTTGACTTCAGCTCAGGTCATGATCCCATGGGACAGAGCACCCAGGCGGGCTCTGTGCTGAGCACAGAGTCTGCTTGAGATTCATTCTCTCTCTCCCTCTGCCCCTCTTCCCCACTCACCCTCTCTCTTCTCTCTAAAAAAAATAAATAAAAAGAAAAGAAAAAATAAGAATCCAGTATCGGTGGCCAATAAATGGTCGTGCATATGCTTTAATACCTTAAGACAACGTTAGCAATGGAACTTTCTGCAGTAATGGGTTCTATGTCCTACATCTGCACTGCTTAACATGTGGCTATAGAGCTCTTGAAATGTGGCTAGTGTAGCTAACAAGTGAATTTTTATTGTATTTAATTTTAATGAACTTACCGTAAGTTGAAAAGCCGTAGGCTGTTATTGGGTGGCACAGCTTTACAACTGAAAGTGAAAGGAAGGGAGGGAGGGAGGAAGAAATTTAAAGCTCTTTTGAAAAAAATTTCATTGACATACACTGAGCCCTTCTTTGAGCCATGTACATTTACTACCTTAGATGAGGCATCTCCTGGAATCATCTCGACAACCCCATTTTACAGATGAGAAAACTGAGGTTCAGAAAAGGGTGTGGGTGACCTGCCCCGATCTTAACAGGGAGGACTGGCTGAGCTACGTTGTGAGTAGGTTGTTTCTGACTCCAAGACAGCGCCCGCCCTCAGCCCCGCCTCCGCCCCGCCCACCTCGCCTCCCTCACCTCACCTTTGGCCGGTTGCCTGCTACCTTTTCCTAATTTCCTCATCGATAATGCTCACAATCTTCTGCAGCCTGGCCTCATCCACAAAGCCATCGCCTTTCTGGGCACAGAGGGGAAAGAGCAGGGACATGTATGTCTCCCACCCCCCTCCACCGCCGCCCCCCCAACCCAGCACCGCCCTCCCTCCTGGTCTGGAACACACAATCACAATCACCTTCTTTGAATGGACCAGTTTTCCATCCACAAACACCTCAAACTCCCCTGTAGCCTGGGCAGATCTTTCCTCCTCCTGGGGAGGGAATGTTGGGGGTGGAGGGGAAGGTGAGAGCTCCTCTCCAAGCCCCTGGGGTCTCGGGACCCTAACTACCCACCCCCCTCACTCCCCCAGGCCACCGGCACACTCACAAAGCGTAGACAATTTGGAAATTGCAGCTCCAGACTCTTTCTCAGTAGAATGTACTGCAGGGAGGAGATGGGATCATGGGTTCACAGGATCAGAGGGTCATGGGGTCAGGGGAGGGGAAACAGGACCTCCTTCCAGACTTCCTGTCCAGCACTCCCCCCACCTCCAAAGTCAAAACTACTCACCCGAAGGCTGTAGCTTCAGAGGCCGCTGGATGCCGAGGGAAAGAGAAGGGAGACAGAGAGAGATGGAGACAAGATACTGAATCAGTATCTCCCCAGGCCCAGAGGGAGCCTGTGAACACCGGACTCCGATCCCATCCCATACTGCTAGCTCACCCAAGGCAAAAAAAAAAAAAACCACAACAGTCCTCTGTATGGTCCACAAGCCCCCACGGTATCTGCCCCATTGCCTCCATTCACTCCCTGGCCCACTGCTCCAGCAAAGGAGGGAGGGAGGAAGCACTTTTGAAAAAAATTTCATTGACATACACTGAGCCCTTCTTTGAGACATGTACATTTATTACCTTAGATGAGGCATCTCATGGAATCATCTCAACAACCCCATTTTACAGATGAGGAAACTGAGGTTGAGAAAAGGGTGTGGATGACCTGTCCCAATCTTAACAGGGAGGACTGGCTGAGCTAGGACTGGGACTACCCTCAGC